CACTATAAATAAATGCTGTTCAGAAATTTTCTGTTAGCTCACAGCCTTACCATTTCCTTCTCTGCTCTAAAAAAGGTAATAAAGAAGGCTGGAATGCTTTCCTTCATGTCAGAATGGTAACTTGGGATTCTCTACGGGGTTCAGTTGCAGTTAGGGTTATTTCCTAGATTCCATATTACTGACCAAGCTCCATTTCCACTTTAGGGTTGAGGATCATGGGAAGAAACACTCCTCTTCCATTTGCCGGTTTAAGTTTGGACAGTGCTCATCTGAAAAGGTGCACTGAGGTCTTAAAATGCTGTTCAAAGAATAGCATAGCCTAGAGAAGGAAGAAAGGCAACTCCCAATAAAACAAATGTTCTCAAATCAGAAACACTCAGCATAAACAAGATTTGCTTTGACGTTGAATTGACATGAGACTCATTGTGTAACCTGCTTGAAACCAGACCCATACTCGTCTACTTGGAAGCTATGGTACTTCACCCATTTTCCATGGTTTTCCTAATAGCAATCAATACCAATTCAACAATTTCATTTGCAAACTCTCTCCATATTCTGGGATGGAGCTGTCTCTAGGCAAAAAACAGGAATTATTTCAGAAGAGTGTGGTTCAATATCATGAGGTTTAAATTGTCTCTAAAACCCTCCAGAATGAAAGTGATCTTTTTTTAAGGGAAAAAAACAAAAACATAGTAAAAATTTTCAAAATAAGACTGTAGGAGAGTAACAATGGTTACATTGTATACTGTTATCTTCAAAGTAATTCCTCATTAGATATAGGCATAAAAAACCGATCAAACAATATAGACACAAACTTTTCAATGAACTAATAGCAATTAGTAGTATAACTGCCTTAACATGGCAGCCACAAACAACAAGAATAAAAGGCAAAAAGGGGGAGAAAAGCAATCTCCTCCCCTCCCCTATACTGTTCGCTGGTTACCCACATTTGGGCTGGTGCAGTACTCACGCCGCCAATCCCAGCGCTGGACAATGAACCAATCACAAATGCTAGTCTCAGCTGCATTCATGACTGCATGAGGCTTGGGGAACCACCCAGACAAAAACCGTAACAGTTGTACATTTTGGATCTCTTAACTCTTTCAGCTTCTTACACTAGGAAGGCAATATGAGGTTTACACATGTGACTCTGATTTATTTCAATAATAATGAGTATGGTCTCAAGTTGCACCCATTTCTATAAAAGTTTCCAATTTATCCTTATTTATGGCTGATTAGTACTCCACTGTATTAAAAATATCAAATGTTTTTTATCCATTCCTTGGTTGGTGGGCATCTGGGTTGTTTACAAGATTTAGATATTACAAATTGTGCTGCTTTAAACATGGATGCACACATGTCACTATGGTATGATGTTTTTAATTCTGGGAAAATATCCAGAAGGGGGATAGTTGGGTTGAATGGGATGTCTAATCCTAGTTTTTTGAAGACTCTCAACACTGATTTTTTTTTTATTGTGGTTATACCAGTCTACACTCCCACCAACAGTGAAGAAGGGTTTCTTTTACTTCATAGCCCTTCCAGCATTTGTTATTGGTTGATTTCTTGATGATAGCCATTTTTTTCTGGGGTGAGATGGAATCTCAGTGTTGTTTTAATTTGTATCTCTCAAATGAAGCACATTGTTGTTGACAATATTTACCTTAGATTGTAGCCGTAGAGCACCTGAAATTGTAAAAGCTCTGTGCGGTAGGACTTCTCTTCCAGTCTGAGACTGATCTACCTACCATATTGGTTACCTACGTAGAACTTCTGTACTATACTACTGCTCTGCAGAAAACAAGACCAAGCCTAAATTCAACCCTAAAAGATTTAAGAGCAAAACTGGAAAAGCAGACAATGAGGCTTCTAAGCATCCCTGGTAACAGGAAGGCCAGTTAGGTAAAGCTACTCAGGGGGAAGGAAGGAATAAACACAAATTACTGGAGAATATTAAAGAGAAATCACCAAAGCTAAATGGCCAGGGAGAGCTGTTTACAATTAGACACTAGGAGTCTAGAGGCAAAACTATTCTGGTTTGTAACTCTCCCTCATCATCACTTTATGTAGTGGTAACCTGCAATTCCTCTAATCTGAGGGTCGTTTATAGTTATCTATTAGAGAATGAAACTTGCATGGTTTTTATAATCCTCTGATTACTCAATGAAGGGCAGGGGCATGTGGATCTGCAGGAATGCAGAGCCAGTTCACGCAGGCCTCTCACGGTAGCGCAGGCCTTGCCACATCTCCAAATGAAAGCATGGGCCCAAAGTCACAGGACAAGCCGATTCGCTCGTCTCTCTTGGTGCACTCCTCAGCCACCACTGGACTGCTGAGGAGACAGAACTTGGGCCTGCCTTCAGGGTGAGCAGAGGCTCATGAGCTTTCTGGTAAATCTGTTGTGGTTTTAGGCTATACTTATGCTCTAGTTCCCCCGATGTTCGGCCACCATGAATACGTGGCTCTAACCATGAAAACACAACACAGCCAAGTAAACAAGGGAGATTGATCAAAATATGCCAGAGGGCAAATCATGGAATCACAAGAGAGCACTAACCTGAAACACCACACACAACACTTCACCAAGGTAAATGTCCTTGTTTTTAGAATAGATGGGATAAATAAATGTGGCATAAAATACACACTGCCATTCACACTCTGCCCCAGAGCTAACTCTACAACTGATCTCTACTTACAACTCCTATGCTCTTGTGCTAACAAGCACAACCTCAAGTTTCTGCACACCCTGCCCTACCTTCGTTTTCCTGGTTTCTGGCTCATGGCTGTGCACTGCTTACTGTCACTGCTCCCCGACACCACTTGCAGATGTGAAGAGGCACTACTTTGTCGGCAAAGGTGACATGACACCGATCCTCCCCACAGTCTGAACTGGCTGTCTTTCAGATGGTATTAATTCCACAAACCAACAGTCTTGAATTCTTTTTCTTTTAAGAAATCACCATCTGTCTCTGCTTACTCATGTTAAGGGTGAACAAGTGTCTGTGACAAAGGAGAAGAGGAAGAATGGAATGGGGAGACACATTTCGCAGTGTCACAAGGGGCCAGGAATGGGCTCTCGCCATCATTTTCACAGCGCTGCTGATTTGTGCTGCCTTAGTCACCGTGTGCCCTGGTACTGTTTGGGCTTTAGGCGAGGAGGGGAGGGCATCATAGCCACATACGCCGATCCACGCTCAGCAATGCCCAGCTGCCCAGCACTCCCACTCTGACCAGGAAGGACCCTCCTTTCCTCGTCAGTATTCTGAAGAGTGCCAGGCACGAATGTCTAATCTGGAGGGCAGAAGAGGCCAGAGTTTTATGCTGCAAGACCACACCAAAGGTAAGGACAGATAGGCAGGGGGTTAGAAGAGGATGTATTAGTGGGTCCAGTCAAAACTATCAGAAGACAAATCTGCAGCTCTTGACAATTCTATAAACTAAAATTTAAATACTTGAACGTATCTTCTCATTAATTCAGCACAATATATCATGAAACACATGTACACTGTTTTAACACTCATGATTTTTCAAATACTCGGCCAAATGTACAGAAAAGATAGATAGAAGTAACAGTACACATTAGTCATTTCTAAAAGAAAATCCAAAAATATAGAAATTATAGGCTAGGAGTGGTTAATTTTGATCAAAAAACCTTGCTTTGTAAAAAAAGTAAAATTATACATTGCACATATTTACAAGAGTCATTGTCAGTTCAGAGTTTAACAATAACAGTAATACTTTTAGAGTCTGTACTATGATCTGGTCTAAGTTTACATGTATCACCTTGTTTAATTTTCACAATAATTCTGTGAGGTAAAGATAATTATCATCCCCAATTTACAGCCAAAGAACTGAAGCGCAGAGCTGAATAATTTGCCCAAGGCACAATATAACTGACAAATGGTAGTTATTTAATTATCTTCAAACCACATAGATGATTAAAGAATGATTACATAATCTAAATCAGCTAAGGAGAAAGCTTTTAAAACTGTACAGATATGCTCATATTCATCATGTTTTGCATGCACAATTCTACACATGTTAGGTTCACTTCAAATCTATTCATAGCCCCACTTGTTACTCATTTATCTTAGCTAAACAGAATGAGAGAGAGAAAGTGGGGGGCGGAGCAGGAAAGAGGAGGAAGAAGAGGAAGAACACCTCAATATATAACAAATGGAAAGACACAGGGCCACGGATACAGCGCAGGGTCATAGTGCCTGCCTGGTAAGTGTCAGGTCCTGAGTTCCATTCCTGGCACCAAAAAAATACAGCGAGACTGACTAACTTACAAAATTTGACTTTTTAAATATTTCATTTGAAGTACCTTTAAGCTGCAAGCTACCAAATGTTCTGTCATAAAAAAAAAACTTGAATTAACACTTTCAAACAACACACATATTGCTTAGTGAGAGACAGAGCCATACATTAAAGTACACTATGTTATGTAAGAGGAAGTTTGTAAGCGTTATGGTTTCTCTCAGACATGAAGACACAAGGAGAACTTTTCTTTAAACATTCATAGTAGAGAAGCTTTTTTGTTCTGCCATGGCTGTAACACATGCGTGGCTGCTATTATGTGTGGTTAATAAAAATCACTCTACCTTTACAGTCCCACAGTCTCCATACAATGCTATACTACAACATTTAATTTATCATTTAAGAGAGTTACAAGGGAGAGACGATAAAAATAATTTATCAGTGGTGAACAGCGAGTAATATAAAACAGATCTTTGGCCTATGTTAGTTTTTGTAGTACTGGAACCTACCATAGTGTCTGCACGTCAAATATACTTAATAACCATTCAGTTCTTAGCAAAGTAATAAACCTACTGGGTGGTCAGTTCTTTCTATTTCCTGACGACTTAACAGACCACTTTCAACTGGAATATATGCTTACTCTGAACAAGAGGTGATGGAAGTGAATGAATCAGTACTGTATTCTTAAATAGAAAGAAGCAAAAAGAGGACGACATATTTATAATGAACTGCTTACCTACCTTACAAACCGAAAGAATATTAATATTTAGCAGTCTCTTGATGACCTGCAAAAAATGATAATTTGATACTGATTTATCATAGAAATGAAAATATTTGACATATACACAGGTAATCTGATAAATGCACCAGATATTGCAGAGACCTTGAAAAAGAACGGGAGTTGGGGAAGAGAGGCAGATTTTATTTTAGTCTCATTGTGATAGTATTTTTCTAACACAAGCAGTAATTCATGCTAATTGGCAAAATCTAAGGTAAATGTACAAATAAAATTTGGAAATGGAAAGATGCATCTAAAATACACAACACTTTACAATTTCCCTTCTGCTAACATGGAAAGTAGAAATAATTGGATCTAAAGATTTCCAGTTTTTAAAAATTTACACAGTCCCTCAATGATGAGCCTTCCTAGTTTTCATTGAAGGATTACAGATGCATTAAAGATGTGGCTTTCATTTCAGTGGAGCTGGTTCACCTAAATTAACCATCCTAACATATTTATGATTTTAAATTGACTTTAAAATCATAACAAAATAGTGCTGTTTTGATATAACAAAACTAGAGCTATTATTGATTCTGGTGCTGTATATGATTATACATATTTTCTCATTCAATGCTCTTAACATCCCTATGATGTTGCCTATTGTATGGGTAAGGAAACAGACAAAGCATATAGGTAATAAACAGAAGAATCAGGATGGGAGCCTCAGGTAGCTGGGCTCTAGTGTTCACAGTCTGAATCATTACACCAAACTCTCTCACGAATACCTGAATGTATTCTATAAGAGATAAAGAAAAACTCACATTGTCCAAGTCAGGAATTTCCAAAAAGTATTCAGGATAGTCATAGGACATTCCCACGTTGTTCACTGAAATAAGACAAGATCATTAGCCAGCTAACATGTATTTTCAAGATTCCCCGAAATAATGGGATTAAAACTATTAAGCTGAAAATGATATCTACGATTAGGTAAAACATGGTTTATGTCTGGAGTGACCTTTCCTAAACCTTTCTACCTCAATCGGTCTTAAAATCCAGTCAAATGTCTTCTTCCTTTATTAAGCCCATTTGTCTACACTTAGCATCTCATCTTTGTCAAAAGGACTTCTACTCACCTCCACTTCCCATACCCATTCTCTACAGTGCAATTATTTCTAGTATTGCTAAAATCTTCTTCTATAATTATATAAAGTCTTCTTTAGCAATACTAGAAGACTAGAGAGAATTATACTACAGGAAACTGGAAACTTAAGACCTAGTTGTAAGTATTTCAGAAAACATGTAACATAGGCTAAGTCATGTACAGTATGTATCTCGGTTTATTCACCTCTAACATGAGAGATTTTAGTCACTCAAAAGATACCTATCGTTTTGTGCGAGACATATATACTAGGAACAAGAAAAAGCAGAAAGAGATGCTTAGTGACATTATAGCATTTATAATTCAGTAAGAAGCTACAGGTGCTCAGCCAAAGAATCAAACAAATCTTCCCTAACGAAAGTACAGAGGCTGTGTATTTCTTTTTCCCCTTGTATCTCTACTTCCCAGTCACCTAACCTAGTTAGAGCTATAAGACTACTGGTATGAATATACAAATTTATATATAAAGCTGGATATATATTCTAATAATCAGGTATCCTGTGATTTTCTCTAGCCCTGGAAAGACAAACTCGAAGACACTCACCACACAGAGAACACTTACTGGAATCAAAAATGAATCTAGTATCTCTGAATCTGTATTAACTAAGTAATTAATGAAATAGATTACTCACCAACTTATTTATATTTAATCGCCACAAGAATGCTATTAGGTAGAATTTCTTTCATTATCTCCTATTTAGGCTCAGAAATGAAGTTTATAGTAATTAAATAAATTTCCCTAAGATCAAAGACCAAACAGGCAGAACTCAAGCTGAGGAAATCCGACTTTGGAACCCTGGCTCTTAATCACTATATTAACACTGTCATATTTCTTTACCCAGGATTCAGTTCAGAAGAAGTGATTGGTAATAACTGGATAATAAAAATCTGATAGCAGCACTTAATAATACTCAAGTACTAAAAAAGAAAGGTTTCAACTGCAAAAGATAATAAACTTATGATCAGTCCACTAACGCTAAGAATTGGGCCAAATAAAACTCACAGTAGTAACAGTAACTGCTCGACAGACTAACAAAACTCATAGTTCAAAGGGACTAAGTAAAGGTTCTACATTTAAGTAGGCCAGTCACTTCAGGCAGTTTCCAATTTACTTGCAAAATTCAGTCAGCATGGTTTGAACGAGACCACTGAACACTGTCTGAAAACTACACATAAGCAAAGGATAACAGCAAAGTGAACTGTATTTAACTAGGGTTCACACCCATCCAAATTAGGAATAGCATCTAGACACAGTAACAGGAGGTCTAAATTAATTTTATCTCGTTCAAAAGGATCTCTCTCCAGCAGGGGCCCCAGGAATCAATTCTCCAGAAAATCTGTTAACAAATGAAGCCCAAACTAGTTGAAAGTAACATTTTATATTCACTTGACTTTGCTTTAGCTGGTATGGAATTATAAAAAGTAAGTAATTCATTTAAAGTATGTTTGAGAGAAATCAAAGTATCTACTAAAATGCTAGACATAATTCTTTACAAAGTCAGTGTAAGTAAAATTTGAAGAAAGTAAAAGTTTTTTTGTCAAATTATAACACCCTTTACAAATTAAAACAAATTGCATCATGGAGAGCAAATTCTGTCTCCCTTCATTCTCCTATATCTAAAAAGCATTTTATCCTAAGATTTCTTTGTAACCCACAGAAGCATTAATGCTATATTTCAAAATACTAATGGGAATTAAACAATATAATTATATAAATCTTTTAAAGTCCAGACTGGGTGGGTCTTTTAAGTCTGGGAACTTAATATGCACTACAAATACAATACTGAGCTAAGGAAGCCCAGAAATAACCAAGTAGGCAGGAAGTATTGTTCTGGTTAAGCCTGCATTAGCAACGGACAGTCCTCCGATCTGCCTCTGCTAAACCAACACAGGAAAGCGATGAAGTCATGTATTCAAACAGTGAAAATGGGAATAGTTAACACAGGTCATTAAGGAAACAAGCTTAGCCTAAGAAAGTAAGTAATATCACATAAAAGGACCATACTTTTATTAACATAACCATCCACAATTTTTAAAAAGCCGTTTAAGCTAGAATAGACCATTAAGAGCATCAAGTCCAGTTTTCTAAGGGGAGATACATTCCAGAGTGGTCAGGGAGGCCATCCATCTTACACTAAGTATCAAGACCCCTTCTTTCTTGCTTTACTGGTTGCAGTTACTCTGTGTAATGTACGCTATCCACCGTCTTTCCACAATAACCAACTACTTCTGAGTGCTTGTACTGAAAGAGCACAAAGACAAACACAATTTGTTCTTGTTGACACTCAGAAAATGGTACTCCAAAATATGATGCCTTGGTATGCTCTTTGAAATTAAAGGCACAGAGGGGTCAGCAGACTCTGGGTGAGGCTTTTCTCTGGAGTTCTCTTATCTACTAAGGACTGGATCCACCGAAGAGGAACACAATTGCCTTCATGAAATTTCATTTAACCAAGGCGGATTAAACTTGGATCACAGGAGACTAAACATCAAACATCACACCTCCAACCCAGTGAAACAGGCTACTGACTCTCCTGAGTCTATTCATTGCCCTAAAAATATTTCTTTACCCTTGGTAACTGCCTATATTCCCTCTTCTCTCTTCTCTCCAAAGCTTCAACCATCTGGCTCTTTAAATTTCATATTTTGTGTGGCTCCCATGAACATGTACATGATAGTAAATTTGTAGGCCTTTTCTCTTGCTAATCTTTTATTGTCGGTTTATTTCAGCAGACTCAATTATCAAGGCTTGAATTCCCCTCTATGCTCAAATAATTATTTCCAGAAACTGCAGGATAGCGAGAATCTTTAGGAAAAGGCAAACCCATTGCAATTTTATTTGGGAGACATTAGGTGGCAGCAGTAACCAAACAGCAGGCAGAAAGCTTTCAGGCAGCAGCAAAAAAAGAAAACAGGCTTTGAGTGGGAGCGAAAGATGGAAATATCCCCATTATAATTTAATCTTGTTAAGAATGGGTATGGGCAATGCCATCTCTATATATTACAAGGTTCTTTATAGAACTCATAAAACCAAGCAACTTGGTGAGTTGTTTTGTCATTATTGCGGCAGTTGACAATCCCTTCTAAATTGTAGCATCTTAAATTAGCATTGCACATCAATAGTGAGTTGTCTTCAGTTCTTCAAGGGAGGCCCACAGAGACGGATTTAATTTTTCCAGTGACCTGAAAAACCCTTTAGCTTGTCTGATGTATTGTGTCTTTTAGAAAACAAAGGGCGTCTGTGAATGGATTTCTTTTCACTGCTGCTGCTCCAGTCAGCACCACAGGACCTCAGACACTAACAGAATCTTTCCCATCATTGCCTCACTGGTGGGCTCTATGACTAGGAAGAGCTCCCGGAAGGAGACAGGCTACGGACTGGGATGTGGGAAGTGGAAAGAGACGTGGGGCAGGCAGAGGAGCGATTTTCAGAATGGACCCAGTACGGTGAGTGGATTCTCCAGAGAGACTCCGTGCAGCACCCCCTCAGAACGTCAGAAAACACTGTTGATGTGCTGCTGAAACTACGCTCACTAGAATTACTCACCAGAGTAATCCTAAATGCTAAATAAATATTCTAAACTGTACCATGTCACTTCTAAATAATCAACCCCCTATCTTACACTTTGAAGAACACTCACAAGTTTTTGGTTCCTAAGTTCACTTGCAGCTGATCTCACAGACCTAAACTCGTTTATCAAACAGAGCTGCCTCAGAGACATAATGATGTCATTATCAAATTAGTTTGCTATCTGGGTTAGGTGTAGGGAAGGAGCAAACAACACTAAATTACAAGAATATGAAAATCCACTCCTATGAGTAACATACACACCACATTCAATATGTTTCTTTTCCTTTAGATTAATTTGGAACATAAGAAATTAATGTGGTTTAAAAATACTTTGCCTAATAGCCGAGTTTCCAAATTTAAATCAGATAATGCAAAATATTCCTCTATTTCCTTGATATCAAAGCAGAAAATGGTTAATACTACATTTCAGTTATATTTGTATTTATATACACTAATCCAGTTCCAGCATTTAGAGGTCATTAACAAAAACCACTTCAAAGGTGCTGTCACTTCATTATATTTTTAAATAAACAGAATTTTTGCAATGTATGCCTCAGTGATAGTGAATATGCAAAAGGGGAGCCACTTCTGCCTTACTTTTTGAGCTTAGTTTGTGGAAAAGGGGCTGGGTATGGGGCTCAGTGGTAGAGCAGCACTTGCCTAGCCTGTGTGAGGCTGTGGGTTTGATCCCCAGCATAGAGTGGGGCGGGGATGTAAAAGGTGACAAGATTGCAAAGTCCAACAGGACCAGGATTTAGTCCTAGCTCCTAATAAGAGGCAAATGCTTTTTATCTTGGGAGCCTCCATTTCCTCATTGTTCTTATATATGAAACAGGGATAATACTTTAAACTGTCTCATTGAGATAACATGTATAAAATTTTTAACCTAATTTCTGGAACATATTAATATGTAACAAATGGAACATGAGTAGTTAACATTATGTGGTCATTTATTCAACAAAAATTTACTCCATTCCTACCTTGTGCCTGAGACAAAGTGTCCTGTTTTGATTATATATGAACAGCATCCAAGCAGACAGATCTTTGTGGAAGATAGAGCTCTGGGCAGCAGTTCACCAGAACAGCTAATTAAATTTATCCCAATTTCTCCTCCACCCACTTTACTGCATTCAAGTAGACCCGTTTTACAGTCTAC